GCCAGCAGGAGCCCTGTTGACTACGTGGACCCATGGTAGAGTTCTGGGACCTTCCCTAGGTGCTTTCTGCATTCCAGGAGTGGGAGTAAAGGAAACGGATGATGTGGACATGGTTGGAGACCCATGCATGGGGACAGGGTCCAGGGAGTAAGAAATCTAGGATTCCACCAAGCATTTTCTCTAGTGTGAGTTCTCAGAAGATCAACAGTGCTCTATTTGCACCTGAATGCATGCAGTGAGAAACTTGCTTCCATTTGGAAGGTGCTCCCAGTTGCCTACCATTATAGAAAACAAGTCCTATGGGGTTGCTTTTTTAATATACTCCCCTTCCTGACAGCTTAGCTCAAAGCTCTGTCCCTGGAATAGTTTCCTGACCTCCCTCTTACCTTCAGAGTTGTCCCTCTACTATGCTCAGATAACAGCTCTCTGAAAAGTTCTCCTGCAGTATTCATTACACCTTTGCACTCTTTCTCCGTTCTCTGATCTCTGTGAAGGCAGGAACTTTGTTCTCTGGATCCCTAGGCCTGGTACACTGGAACTGCAAATTCTCTGGGGATACTGAATGAATACTTTCCTAACTTATCTTGTGGCGGTTCAGGAAGGTTTTTTTCATCTGAAGACAAAGATAAAGATCAGAGGATCTCAGAAGTCATCTCCTCTGTAACTAAAAGAAGCTAAAGAAGCTAAAGCCCAAACAGGTTGACTTGAAGTCCTTGATAATCGATTGTTTGCTTGTTTTCTATTTGATGCAGTCTTCAGTGTTGTCTCCCTTGTGTCTCAGGGTTGTTTTGGCTTAAGTCAGGTACTGTTTTATTCAGAATTCAACATAGCTCAAACAGAATCTAATCAAGATGTGACAGGAGTGCTCAGAACTGGAGGTAAGATTAAGAAAAAGCTAGAAATGGTACCTAGGTTGGCAAAGTCCAAGCCAAATGGAAGAGCATCAACTGAGATGGTGGGCAAATGGTGCACAAATGAGAGAAGGTGATAGAGAGGGGTGCTGGTGTCCCCACACAGTAGTGCACTGGGGGCGGGGAGTAGGTTGGTTAAGATACCCCTAAATCACAGTTTTAAAAGAGCACAGGAATGGCCACCATAAATTTGCTGTGTCTTTCTGTACAATAACATGTTACTTTAACATTGTTCTTTCAATGTCACTATTCCATTCTCATATCATTTTACATACAGTCATTCATTGCTTAATGACAGGGTTACATTCTGAGAAATGTGCCACAGGCTACTCTGTCACTGTGAGAACATCATGAAGTACAGTCAAACAAGCCTAGATGGCATATTATTATGCACCTACTTGTGGTATATCCCATGCTCCTGGGCTACCGGCCTGAACAGCATGTTACCACTGAATGCTGTAAGCAAACAAAATGCAAAGTATTTATGCATATAAACACATCTAAAAGGTACAGCAAAAATATTAGACAGCAGAAAATTCTCAGCTCCATTAAAGTGGTCTTATGGGACCACTGTCCTAACGTGTCATCCACTGTTGACCAAAACATCATTGTGTAGCTCATGACTACAATTCAGAAAGACCTACATACAAGCAGCACTGTTAGGATCATTGCTTTATTCTCCCTAGTCCTGATCCTATTTTCCCTCAAAAACAAAAAACAAACAAACAAATAAACAAAAAAACCTCATTACTTATTTTTAGATCTCATTTTTTTTACAAATTTTTGTTTAAGAAAATATGTTTCTTGAAATGTGAACTCTCTTGTACCCTCCTTATAATTGAAAATGGGTTGTTAAAATAAATATTTAAAATTGTATTTCTAAGTATTTGCTTAGTCGTGTTATTTTATTTGCTGTTTATTTTAGCTAGATGGTGTTCTTATGGTTCTAAGAGTCTTTCAAATTTTAATAATAGCATTGTTTGCGTGCATTCTGGGTAGTTCAGAGAAAGGAAAAAGAATGCATAATGATTGAGTGTCTTCCTCGGCCTAGGCTGCTATAACAAGATCATCATGGACTGGGTGGCTTCAATAGAAGCATCTATTTCTCAATAAATGCTTGAGGCTGGGAAGGCAGAGATCAAGGTGTCAGTAGATTTGGTGTCTGGTGATGGTTAGCTTCCTGGTCTACAAACATTCTATTCTTACATGGCAGAGGCAAGAGAGATGATCTCTCTTGTCTCTTCTTAGAAGGGCTTTAATCCTATCCATGAGGGCTCTGTCCTCAGGACCTAATCACTTCTGAAAGAGCCCACCTCCAAGCACTATCACATTGAGAACTTCGGCTTTAACATACAAATTTTGGAAGAACACAGGAATTTGTTCCACAGCATTCAGTTAGGCCAAAAGATAGAGAATCCTGTTCCTAATCCACCTACAAAGAAGACAGGATTCAAGTAAATATTTAATGTTCCTCCTGATATGGGACCAAAGAGGAGTTCTCCCCAAGTCCCCTGCATCCTCTCTCACAGCTGGCCAGCTCAGATGGAGTGTGGTGCTGGTCTGTCCTCCCAAACACCTCACCCTCTAGCCTGCAGGGGAAGATCACACCCAACTCAGACAGAGGAAGATAAGGCACTAGACCTGGCAGACAGGGAATGCTCAGCTCATTTTATTTGGGGGATATGAAACTTTAAATTAGTAGATCCCTAAAGATGACCCATTCAGAGGCCTCTGTCAGAGGAGGGAGGAGGTTGGAACCCAAAGATGTGGATTTGCTCAAGATCCATTATGACTCATTAACATGAGCTATTACGATAACAGTGAGATTTATCTCCTCTAACTTCAACATTTTTTCTCAGTTCCATTCAATTACTCATTTAATAACCTTCCAATTTAAAAAAAAAAAAACAGAAGGAAAATAAATGATTGACCAGATGGTGAAAAAATGTCAAAGCTAACAAAATGGATTGAGGCAGTTCAGCCTCCCCCTGCTCTAAGCCTTTTAGAAAAATCACTCAACTATACCCTGCCTTAGTTTCTCTGACAAGAGAATTCCTCTTTTCCTCTGCATTTGCTTTAAAGAGCTTGTCATTTATAATACATGTGGCTAATTAAAAAAAAAGCACATTTTCCAACCAAATTAAAAAGTCCTACATATTATACTGGTGTGGGGTTTTGTACTCACAGATATGAATTTCCAGCTCCAACAGAAAATTCAATGATAAATACCTTCTGCAAATAAAGAATGATCTACAACTAAAGAAGAGAAACAGGACTGGTGTTTGTCTAAAGTAAAAACATAATTTTAAAAGCTCCTCTTTGATATAGTAATTTTTTTGTTGTCTGAGCTGGACAGTAACTGCTGAGTTTCTCATTGGAATATGTTTCTCTGCTGTAGTAGTGACCAGGCTTGCCTAATGAGATCCTCCTCTCTCCAGTGTGAGGCCAACACCTGGAACAACAGACCATTGCTCCACGTGCAGCACAGGGGTCTGGGCCTCTTGGCACCAGGACTGTCTGCTCAGCTGGGATTTATATAATGGAAGGTCCAGGGAATCTGACCAGGACGGCACTGGTCAGCCCTGGCTTGTGTCCCTCCTCTTTTTCTGAGCTTTAAAATATGGAAACATCTGTCATATGTTTTCCGTATGTGGCAGGAAAACAGACAGCTGAGTTTGGTAAGAGGGGAGCCAGATAAATAGCACAGCTGACAGGCCGTGGTCAGGTGGGTGGGTCAGTGCAGAGAGAAGGAGGCCCTGAGAGGGATAGTTCCGTCACCTGGCGCCAACTGGCTCCCAAATCCAGTCTCTGATGGGAGCATGAGGATGTCATTTCACTGCACCGATGTTTCCCACAGGAAGGTAAATACGGTAAACAATTTTCTCTGCTCGGTGGTCTCTCAGGTGCTGTGCATGCCTTCCCATTTCATGTAGAGGCTGCCCTGGCATCAGGCTGGACAGAGGAAACCCCATGTGAGCCCGCACAAGACCCTTCACTCTGTACCACATCAAAATATGCTGTTTCTCTGACCACAGTCTGTCTTTCTCTGCTGTTTGTCTCAGCTGCCCCCTGGGTCCATCTGCTTCCAACCAGTGACTCCGAGAAGACCAAGCCCAGCAGAATGAGAAGTGCTATGGAGGGGAGCACAGAGGCTCTCGGCCCATCACACCTTGTTCCCCTTGGTGATATGCCCAGGCTTTATGGAGGGCATTTGGAAGGAAATGCCTTTTTTTTCAGCCTCTCTGATTTTAACATTTTCCTTAGGGGATCAGGTTTGCCCAGGTTCTGGAACCAACACTCCCTGCTCATGCTGGTCTCCTGGTTTTTGCCCATCTAAGAAGTGGGAAGTCCATTTAGGTTTTCTGACATGTGTGCCCTTCCTGCTGCCAGCATGCAAGCTGGTTCTTCCTACACCTGGGCTGTGGGCTCCCTCTGAGCCAGCTCTACCTCACAGCCAGCGCCATGTGGGAGCCCTCCATCAGCTCCTGGATGGTGAGGTCAAAAAATGGCCCAGAAGCCCTGACAGTCTGAAGAGTTCCAAGCTAACAATTCGCCTTTCAACTGACCAACTCCCCAGCACCAAGACGGGCCAATAAACACCATCCATGTGGGGTTGTCCTGTTTATCAAAAGCACTCAGCTTATTGGAATAAATTGCACCAATATTCACCAGCAAAATCAAGTGGTTTATAAAGCTCTTTAAAAGGAAAGAGATTGGTATCTGGGATGTACATGTTTCTACATTTAAAAAAATATTTTAAAATTTGTTTTTTAAAAGTTTTAAAACAACATTAATTTTTATGGGTAAGATTCCATAGCAGAGGAAAATCCTCTCCTAAAAAAGGATTTAATTATTTACAATGATCCAATGTATGTGCTGTCTGTATGGCCTGTGGCCCAGGGTCAATGGGGTTGTGGGTAGGGAAGAGATCTCTATGCATGAATATAAGGCAAAAAGCAAAGGGCCTGCACTTGGTGGTTTCTCCAGTGAAAACAGTTTCAAGCAACCTCGCATCATCAGAAAAGGTTACTGTATGGTAGGCTACAAGACGGGAGAGCCAGATGATACATGATACAAACTTTCTTGCTCTTAAATATGACCTTTCTTTCCTTGGTGCTACCATTCTCCTCGACTGAAGATGGGGGGCCAGGGGAGAGAGGAAGGAGAAAGAAACAATATTTTCTCTAGAGCTTCCTGCCCCTGCCCCTCGTCCAAGCAGACACCAAAGCTCCACCCTAGCAGGGGTAGGCTCTGGAGCGCAGCTCACTGTAAGAACCAGGTGTGCACAAGCAACAAGAAGAGCTACCCCCCTGCGGCCCCCAAAGTCATTTCACTTTCACGTGCTCTTATTAATTAAGGCTGCTGGTTTCAGATCCCAATGTCATCTCTGTGTCAAACGGATGAGATGCCAGGTAATCTTTATACTCCCCATCAATCAGTTTGGCGGCATTGTTCCTGGCAAACCAGCAGTCTATCTGTTCCTCCCCGTTGTAAATCTTCCTTTGTTTCCATACCACTGGGACTCGGTGCCCTTTCACCTTTAGGATGGTCTCAGAAGTCCCTCCTGCTGGCAGGAGTGGAGAATTGGTAAGATTCTTGCTGTGCCCTGCAGGCTCCTCTATGAGTTTGGCGTCCTGGTTCAGGAACTGACCTGAGAAGGCAAAAAATAAACAGATAGTAGATAGATAGATAAATAAATAAATAAATAAATAAATAAATAAATAAATAAATAAATAAAAGCATCGATGCATGCTGAATGAAGACAACAGGTGCAATAGGTCTAAGTCAATGAGATGGGGGCAGGTTAACAGGACTACCAGTCCCTAGGTGGACTGCATTCACACCTGGTCCATAAAATGAAGAATAAAGAGCTAAGCTGCTACTTGTAGTGATGTGACACTTCTGGAAGCTGCCTGGTTGCTAACATTGAAACGTTGTCAACCTAAACAACAAATGGGGACAAACACTCTCTGGTTGAATGGTGAGGACAAGAAGAGGGCTTTGGGCAAAGGGTAAGGTCTTCCCTCTTCCTTCCCTGTTATAGGTCCCCATTTGAACAAGACGTGGCGAGTGCACCTGGGTGGGTATGGAAAGTAGTCAGCTCACTCCTGACACTTGTCCTCAGAATTCTCCAGGTCAGGTGAGGGTACTGCTGAGGCCAACGGGACCCAGATCTGCATCTGTGAGACGGGGAGTATGTTTGGCAGCCAGGCACGGCAAAATGCGTCCAACTCAAGTGCCAGGAAATCCTGCTTTCTAAACAGAGCCCTGGCAATGGCTCGTCCTTCATTTTTGGGCCAGGAGCCCACATGAAATTACACGTTGAAGGACGCTGGCCAGAGTGGCCTGCCCGCTGCTCACAGCAGCAGTGTGGATGACTCCTATGAAATGCAAAACTCTCTCGTGCTGGGAGGGCTGTGGGCTGCCCTTTTTCTGTGTCTCCTTGCAGAGGAACAAGGAATCAGACTGAAGATGATTACCCTCCACTGCTTTGCTCTCCCAGAGACTAGTGAGAGCTGGTTTGTAACAGCCACTCCTATTCCAGAAAGTCATCAGGAGGCCCCAAATCCATTTTTCATATACACATACTCAGCACTCCATATCTATGGATTGCACATCTTTGGATTCAATCAACTGTGGATCAAACATTCAGAAAAAAATGCATCTGTATTGAACATATAGATACTTTTTTCCTGTTATTAGTCCTTACACAATTCAGAATAGCGGCTATTCACACTGCATTGGCATTCTATGAGGTATAATAGTAATTTAGAGATGATGTAAAGCACATGAGAGGATGGGTGTAGGTTTTACACAAGTACTATGACATTTTATTTATTTATTTATTGCTGTACTGGGAATACCGTTGAACTATATCCCCAGTCCTTTTGATTTTTTTTTTTTTTTGAGACAGTGTCTTACAGAGCTGCCCAGGTTGACCTTGAACTTTCGATCTTCCCTGCCTTAGCCTCCTGAGTGGCTGTGATTACAGGTGTGTGCCACTAGGCCATTTGAGGGACTTGAGCATCCTCAGATTTTGGTATCTCAGGGAATCATGGAACCAGACCCTGGTGGATGCCAAGGAATAGCCCTGTACATAAGGACCACATTTCCTATTGGATTTCCCAATCAAGCTGAAGAGATCGGCAGTATGGGCTTCTCTTTGAGAATCTAATTCCATGCTCCAAGCCCAGCATGAAGATGAGCAGCTGCCTACCTAAGAGGCCGTGGCAGTTGCTGGAAAGGCCCCTGCTGTTGGAGATGTAGAAGCCCAGGTGGTTTCTCTGGAAGGGCGCTGGGTTTTTATAGAGGTGAATGAGGATGACAAAAGCAATGGTGCCCTGGATGGTGACAGTGACGTTGGCGTTGGCAGACACAGACACCTCCAGCCCCCGGCTCCCCACCACCACGCTCTGGTTGCAGAGGAGGACCAGCCTGTCGCTGCCATCCAGGATGACCCTGTTGGGTGTGATCTCCAGGTATGATCTCTCCGGCTTGTTGATGAGGATGGTGATGGTGCGGAAGTAGGTGCGCTGCTTCTTGTGACCACTAGGTGGGGCGGGGGCCCCGATTAACTCTCCATTCACTGTCACACCTTGAAGCCCAGGGGAAGAGAACAATGGTTAGAAACACAATCCCCAACCCCTAAAGGCCTCTGGTCAGAATTTCCTTCCTCCTTCCTGTTCTTTGTTTCTGTAGTAGGAATGACTCACTCATAGAAGCTGCTCAGTGATGGCTGAATGAGTGAATGGGTGCGGGATCACTGGTAGCCATGGGTGAGCTTTCTGCCTCATGTCTGACCAGCATCTTGGAACAAGGGAAGAAGGCTGAGGCTGGGATCAAGATCACGGAAGGGGACTGAATGGCTCCTTCCAGCCTGGGTATAGAACAGAAAGATTTGGTGGTCCTGATAAATATTTTGTATCTACCAGTAGCCATAGATCCTAATTCCGAGACCATTGATGCTAGAATGTTTTTCAGTCCAAAAACTCAAGTTCGTCCATGTCCGAGGTGTTCATCCTTAAATAAGTCATTGGAAAAAGTTAGGCCTCAATTCCTTCATCATGTAAAATGGAGAAGATATAAACACAAACTAAATTTTTGCAAGGATTGCAAAAGGAAGTGTATGTATAAGCTGTCAACTGCCACCAAATATAACACCTGTTTTGTTTTTTTTTTTTCCTGTGCCACTAAGAACATAAGTGTTTCTGGACTTGAGTAAGGCTGGCAGCCAGCTCCCAGGGCTCCGTGCTGTCAGGCTGAATAAAAGACACATGCAAGTGCACAGGAGATGCTTGCAGTGAATTAAATGATGTGTGCTATGTGCGCTTTGCCCTCATGCCAAGAGGCAATTTTCAATAACAAAAGACTGGTATATAATTAACTTGAGTGTTCTCTACTTTGGGATCATCTCCCCAGTAAATCTTGACTGTAACTTCTTAGGTATTCAAGGAGAAAAGTGTCTTTCCTGGGACAAAGAATGTGTGTGTGTGTGTGTGGGGGGGTGAGGATTGGAGAGATAGAATCCCTGCCTGAGCACAGCCATGCTCCAAGCACTTCCAGGCTGAGTTCCCGTCTTGGGCAGAACACGGAAACCATGGAATAGCTCCAAAGAGAGGGTATACTTCCAGGAAGGGCTGCAGTTAGGTCCCTATCTTATTCCTGCACCCTTTTAGATGAGAAACATTAGAAATATAGCTCTAAGACTGGAAAGACCCACAGAAAGAACAATGTGATAGAGGAGACCCAGGGTTAAACTTTCCTTAATCTCAACATTCCTACCACCTGGGACCTATGTAGACTGACCTTCCACAACTCTTATTGTCTCAGCACTTACAAATACCAGAAAGGCCCACTCCCAAGCTTGTCCTCACAAAGCCATGCTGTGTGGCTGACCACATAGTTGGTCCTCAAGCATCGATAACAGCACTGAACTCCAAAAGTTTTTTCTGTGCCAACCTCTTTTACCCAGTCCTTCTCCCCAGCCCATAGGGACCAGAGGTCTCTTTACATCTGTGCTCACAGCACACAGGACTGTGTGGTTAACCTCTGGGCTTCTCATCTACGTCACCACGGAACTGAGAGAGATGAGTTTGGGCCTCTGGCCTTTCCGCCATCACAGCTTCTCAATGAAAAGAAAATAATAACTTTGTGAGTTTCTTAAGCATTTATGAAGCCAACTTATGTCCATTATTTAGTTTAATCCATTTCATAACCGCCCTGTGGGACCAGCAGAGTATCACAATCTCTGTTTTACAAGGGAGACAACAGCAGTCCAAGGCCACACAACACCAAAGTCATTAGAGTGGGTCTGAATGTTCGTCTCTCTGACTCCAAGTCCAAGAACAATGTCCACTGCCCTTCACTCATCAGCAGCACCCACTGAGCCTCTACCATGTGTCCCTGACATAACTGGTCATTCATCCCAAGAACAGGGAGGGGTGCAGCCCCTCCCGGGCCCCTCCTTGCCTTGATGCCACGAGGGAGGGAGGGCAGCGCTCACCAGAGTGCGCGTGATCAGAGACGAGCCGGAGGATGTCCCCGGGTTGCCCATCGATGTTGAAGCAGACGGTGAGTTTGCTCAGGGGGAAGTCCACCACAAAATGAGGGTCACCATCCACTGCCAGGGCGGGAGAAAAAGGAGAGAGAAAGGCAGACATTTATCGGCTGTCTCCTCTCTAGTTTCTCACCAATCATTTCTTTGCTCCCCAGGACAAGCTGGAAGAACAGTTTCCTCAATTTCTAAACAAGGGAGAGAAGTGACTCTCCAAAGTCTCCCAGTGAGCCCACTCAAAGTAAATACTGACTTCAGGCCTCCTAAGTCCAAATCCAGGGCTCCTTGCACCGTCAGTTAAGTGCAGAGAGCCAGGCCTGAGAGGCAGGAGGGGTAGGACACGGAGGAGAGGTGCAGTCCCCAATGTCCTGGGTGGGTTTCCCCAGGTCACTTGCTTTTCCTCTCTCTGCCCACCTGAAGAATGCAGCCTCGGGGCTGGGTTGTGGCTCAGTGGTGGAACACTTACCTCACATGTGTAAGGCACTGGGTTCGATCCTCAGCACCACATAAAAATAAATAAATAAATAAATAAATAAATAAAGATATTGTGTCTAAGAATGCAGCCTCTTCCTGTCTATGGCAAGAGTTCCTTGGCACTTCTCCCAGGAAGCCCCAGTCTGTCTCACAAACACTCCCAGTGCCAGCCGTCTGCGATCCTAGTGGACTGGTTCTGAGAAGCCAAGCCCAATTAATGGGCAGTGACAGGTGAAGCAGAGGCACTAGGTTCGGCAGTGACAGCAATGAGGGCAGAAATCACTGACTTTACTGCTCTCATAGGTCACACTGACTTTACTGCTCTCAAATTTTTGTCCAAAGATGAAGTTCAGCTGGCCCCCGTTTCTTGTCCATTTCTCCTCCTTTTCACTTCTGCCAAAGATGAAGAGCCTGTGTCTTGCTGTACAGATCAAATATTTCCCAAGAGTCTACATCAATTCCCTTCTCTCACTGGACTGGAGATGTACTTTCTGACTTACACACCAGCAGACACAGCCTGTTTTGGAACCCCCCCTCTCTGCTTTCTCGTGTACGTGTATACATGCATGAGAATGTGCCTAGATACAGTGGAGATTTGGGTCAGGAGAAATCTGGTCTTTTCAAGCTCTAAACAACTTCCTATCCTCCTTATACCTACAGAAAAACTCTGTCTGCCTCCAGCATCACTCAGAAGAGCCCTTGAGAGAATCTGGCTACTCTCACTGTGAAGTGCCTCACGTCCCCTGTGAATGGCAACATATAAAGAAATACAAGGTATCTGTCTTCAGATGGTGGGTGGAGGGGAACGACACCCAGGGGAAACAAAAGTTCTCTCCCACATTTTTGGCACTCTCTGACAGTACTTTGAGACTTTCTGTACACACTACGACATCCACTTCTATTTAAATCATCCAAATCCCTTTACAAGGAAAGTTTCTGCTTGTTCCAATAAAGAGGAGTCCAAAAGTGATCACTGCAGGCAGCATCCAAGAGGAAGGTTTTCTTGCATTCCACAAAGCACACGTGTTCAAGGAATTGCATTCCATCCACGGGAGACTACGCATTTCATCCCCATAGCTAATCTCAAGTACGTCCCTGGATTTAAGGACTTGCATGTACAGTACATCAGCAGAGGGATCGTGAGACTTAGAAGGGAAGACGTGTACGTTGGAAAATAAAAGCCCAACGCCCCTAATGCTGCTCTTCCATCTTTATCATAATACCAAGAAGCTGCCAAAAGGAAACTCTATGATGTTTTTAATCTGTTCTTCCTTCTGAAGTTTGGGATTACAAAACAATGACAACAAAACCCTGCTTACCTCAACAGACATTTCTAAAATACCACTTCTGCATTCATGACACCAGGGGCTGGAAACACACACACTCCAGACCCCTGAAACCAATGCCTTTTAAGCACAGAAGATGTCTCTGTTATTCGACTCTTCTTCCACCAGGGCTGTTGCCAGGCTTTCCTGGGCACTGTGTGATCTCCAACGTGTTTATGTAGTGGCTTAAAGATGGTCCTGGTTCTCAGCATGCACTCTGTGGGGCCTGAGCTAAACAAACACAGTCATGATGCCTCATTCTATGAACTGCTAACTTAAATGTGTTCCTGGTGGCCCCTGTCCAAATTTCCCTTATTCCCAACTCACTCACCAAACCACCTCCTTCTCTTTACCTGATGTTTTAGAGATTTTGATTCTTGGGTCATATGGTTTCTTGAGAGTGGGCCCTAAAAAGGAGAAGGAAGAGAACACTCTGGTTATTCATCAAAGAGGATCCTGTGAGAGGCCCTGGAGAAGCAGGCTGAGATGAGAAATATTCAGCTTTCAGATATATTTGTAACCAAGAATTAAAAAAAAAAAAAACTGTTCAAAACATCATCTATTTTAAAGGGAAAGTCTGGTTTCCAAAGAAACAAGCAAGGATGGTTGATGATGTTATTGGTTTAGCATTTAGATAGTATTTTTCTTTTCTGTGATCTCTGTTTACATAAAAGGGGGAAACAGTCTATCACACTTAAGATACAGTTCTGGGTAAAGGGAGACTAGGGGGTTATTGTTTAGGGAATACAGAGTTTCGGTTCCACCAGATGAAAAACTTTCTGAAGCTGTATTTCACAACAATGAGAATAAAACCAGCACTACTGAACTGTACCCTTAGAACAGTTAAGATGGCAAATTTTATGTTATGTAGTTTTTAGTGCAATAAAAACAAGAGAGACAGTTATATTCCAGGGTCCAGAGCTATGTGTGAAAGCTTAATTCAGAAAGCATTTTGAAACACCAAGGATTCAAAATGTACCTTAAAAAATATTCAATTAAATGATAACCTAGAAGTAAATTAATTTCTATAAATAAAACCAATATCATATGGTGTATTAGCAAAATTACACTCCTCTTTACTCATTTTTACCCCTCCTAGAAATTAAAGGTCAACAGTGTTGGGGGCATAGCTCAGTGGCAGAGCACTTGCCTAGCATGCCCAAGGCCCTGGGTTCCATCCCCATTACTTAAAAGGAAAAATAAAATTAAAGATCAAAATCTCTAAGTGGGTTTTAAGTGCGCCTTGCCATTTCTGGTCCCTGGAGAGCATGACATGGGCAGAGAGAGATGGGCCAGGAAGGAGGGGGAAGGCCAGATGATTGCTTTGAGAAGTGTCAGTTTCAACAGGCACTTAAAAAAATTAAAATTAAAATATCATCAGAGCATTAAGGACAGGAAGATTGTCTTACAAAATCACTAACGCTTCAGGAAAATCTTACTCCAAAACTCTCCTTTGAACAATCAGTTGGTTATTTCCTCATCTGTGCTCCAAGTCCTTTGGGTCTTGGGTCATCTGCCTCTGATCTCTCCTGAAGCCACTGAGATTTGAGTGGTTTATGTAAGGTCTTTATTGCTCAAATAGCCATTTTTCTTGGATGTGGGACGAATCTCGTGCGTGCGAAGTGACAGCATCCTGCAGCTTGACTTTTATCAGAATGAAAACGGCCCTCGCTTCCCCAGACAGGCGCCAGTCTTTCTAACACAGCAACTGCGTGGTGTCGCCTGTCTGAAAGGGTCTGAGCTTCTTGATGAGCATCTCACACCACAACGTGCCTCATGGAGAGGACGGCTAAGATCTGCAGAACACTGGTCCCATGCCCAGGACTCTCTGTGCTTAATCCTCACAGCAACCCTCAGGGAATCTGTCACCACCTCCAATTTCCCAGTAAGGAAATGGAGGCTCAGAGGGTCTGGAAACTGCCCTGGGTCTCACAGGAGGTCAGGAGGTTGGTGGACCCTAACTTCCTGCTCTCTCTGCCACACCCAGGTGGTTCTCAGAGCTCAGAGTGTGAGGAATAAAGGAGACAGCAGTTAACCAGGGCTCATTAACTTCAGTCCCCTTTCCTAGGGGATGGCAACCTGACAGTGGCCTCATCACAACACCACACCCAACCAATGTGCCACTTTCTACCAGTGGACGTGATCTAGACTGTGACCCTCTGATTTACCACTTTTCCTTTCTCCTGCTCCCGTCTCTGCGAAGTCCCCCTTGTCCACTGACGCTGACTGGGCATGAGGCTTCTGTTGGATTTTGAGTGGCAGGTGTGTCCAGGGTGAATTCTCTCAAGATTCCCTAGCTTGGTTCTTCAAAAAACTTTCTCAAGAAAATGAAATTGATCCCACGCACACAATAATACAACTCGGATGTGTTTCAGGACATTGAAAGGCACTAAAACAGAACATAGCTGTGTGCTCATCTCGGGGCCTCCAGTACTGGCTGGCATGTGGTGGGCCCTCAACTGACGGATGATTGACTGATGGGCATTGCGTGCCTCATGCCATTTTTTCCTCATTTCTCAAGAGCCACAGTTTATAATGATACAAATATAAAAATCAAAGATACTCTTTGAAGAGTATTGCTATATGCAGGATTCTGGTTTATTAAAAGAAACTATAGAAATTAAAAAAATAAATAAACTTGCGGAGGTCCCCACAGCCTCACCAGGAGCTCAGGTTTCTGGAGCTGCCTTACCTGGCTGCAGGCCAGCTCCCCGCAGGCTCTGCATCACTGTCTCAGGGCCTGTGGCAGCAGACATGCCATGGATGTCCTCCAGCCCACCAGTGTGGAGAGTCGGCCTCTTGAGCTTCATGGACGTGAAGGGAGTGAGGAAGTGATAGTTCACGGCCAGCGCCTGGGCCTTCTGCCTCAGCTGCTCCTTCTCCTGCTCATCATTACTCTGCACCCAAGAGCTCAGCAGCTCCTTCACGGTGAGGTAGCTCCAGAGACGCTCGATGTGGCTGGGGTCTCCCTGGCCATCACCTTTGGGCCTGGGGCTTCCTGGGACATCATTCCCCACTTTCTGGGGCTCCACGGGCACCTTCGTCTTCAGCACTACGAATTTCTTACTGTTGCTGGCGGTGACCTCCACGGGCAACTGCTCCACCTTCCTGTCCGCCAGCTTCCCGGCGATGATGATCTCTGAGCCGTTGAAATAGTTGGGGAACAGAGTTTTGGTGGCATGCTCCACGATGCCAGGGGGATAGTCGATGCGGATGTCAGAAAGGAGGGGGGTCCTGATCTCATCGTAGAACCTGCAGCAATGGCAGAAGAGAAAGAATGAGGCTCTAGCCCTGGCAAGGAGTCCACACCTCACGGGTGGATCTGACTCCAGAGGTGACCAAGTCCCACACTAGAGCCAGTACAGTATGCCCCACGGGAGATCATACAGCAGGAGCTTGAGCATTTCTGGCAAGACCGCACTTGCTACCTCTCAAGGCTTCTAAGCCCCTTTACCTACTCGTTGATGATGAAGAAGACCCTCCTGAGAGTCGATCAAAATCATCCCCCTCAGGTTTCCAGCCAGAGGCCTCAGTTTTGCTTCTGGAGCAAGACAGAATTAGGGTAATCTATCCTCAACACAAAAGCCATTTAGATGCTCCAACGACTCTGCCCGGGGTTCCCTGCAGTCTTCGCTTCATACTCCCTAATCAACCACCAGATTTTTAAATTGGTGCCTATTAATTATACAGAGTAGTGAGTTTCACTGTGGCATATTTGAAGATGCATACAACGATGCAATTTGAAAAACAAGGAACATTTCACAACTTTGGGTATCATCCTGGACAGGGTCCATACTGATCTCTGGATGGTTTCGACCTTGGTAAACCTGCTGTCAAAGTGAGCAGTTCTCATGAACCACTCTTCATGGGCGACAACTTCAAGGTCCTAAGCACTCCTGATAAATTCCTGATACACCCCTGAGTTTCTCAAAGAGCCACTTAAAATATTGTTCTTAAAACCAAATACACATTTCAGGTGAATTTTAAGCAGCACATTAGACTTGAGAAATCTGGCCTTGACTTTAATGTGGTGCTTTTGTGTGATGCAACATTTGTTTCTATTAGGTGTTTTTTTTTTCCCTGTGTGTGTGTGTGTGTGTGTGTGTGTGTGTGTGTGTGTGTGGCGGGGTGGGGGTGGGGTCTGTTATATGGTTGCTTCTTGATAAAGCCACAATTAAAATCCCTTTTCCATAGGTGTAGAGAGAACAGGCTATAGAGCTACTTCCTTACTGTGTATCTTGGAACATGTGGCTTAACCTCTCTAACTTCAGTTTCTTCAGCCATAAAATTGGAATATTAACAGTACTACTTTGGTAGCCTACCAGCTGTCTCCCCAAGTCCGTTCTCCCCTTCTTTTATATTAACTGAGTTCTAAGTAGGCATTTGTCCATCCTCCTACAAAAGCAATTTCCCAGCCTCCACTGAGGCCAGTTATGGCCATGTGACCATGAGCTCACCAATGGAATATACATACAAGTGATTTGTGAAACTTCAAAGATACTTGCTAAAAACAAAATAGCTTGTGTTGGCTTTCCTTCCTTTCTCCCCCTTATCTGGGCAGGGAAAACAAATGATACTGGCTTAATTTCAACCTGGCAATTCAGGAAAACACCTATGAGGAACAAAGCCATAAAATGGAAGGATCCTGGGTCCCTGAGTGGCTTCATGGAGCAGAATTGAGACTGTCCAGCTGACAGGTGGGAGAAATGAGCAGTTTTCTTAGTTGAGTCTTTGCATTTTCTCATCACTGTGTGGTCACTTGGCTTTTATGTAATATATCTATCTCCTAGAACTTCTGTGAGGATCACATGAGACTAGGCAGGTAGAGATGCCCAGCATGTCCTGAGTTCTGTGTAGATGTATCAATATTATTTTTAGTAGTGTGACTGTGCAGTTGATTTGTTTCAATGGGGTGGCTTTTGCTTATGAGCTCCTTACTAAATCCTTGTTGTTTTCAGAGCATTAGATACTCCTTCTTTTGAATCTAATGGTGAATAATTTTTTATAATGGTAGGAAGTAATCTGGGTTTTCATTTAAATCTTTCATAAAAATGTTGGGAAAAAATGGTAGCCAGTCCCAACCAACCACCTGTTTTTACTGCATACCTGAGAAATCTTCAGCAGGATTGATAATGAATAAATTTCTTTGGGTATGGCTACTGAACAACTGTAAATCCACCTCAGTTTTCCTTTACCACATATGCCACAACACAGAGAAAGGTATATATGGGGACGCTGGCATCTGAGTCACCAGCAAAGTCACATGCTCAGCTTGGCAACATGGCTTGAGGGAAGGTACTTCTGTGTTAGAAGACCTAAGATCTAGTTTCTTTTCCACCTCAATATAATAATCTGAGTATTGTACTTACCAGTTTTAATGATCACTTTGCTTCAAAATTAAGATATAACCACTTATAAAATAAACTCAAAATATCAAGAAGGCAATTGTAACTATAGGAGCTCATTGGACACCTCATATGTGACACTGCACCAACTTGCTTTCTCATTCCACTGTCAGCCAGCCATGACCCTCACTGTACAGAGGAAGAAACAGTCATAAAGTCTTGCCTAAAGTCCCAAAGCAGGACCCCCAACCTGCCAGGTTTCAAAACACCCAGTATCTGCCAGTACAAGGAGTTGTTGGCATCTCCAGCAGGTGTGAGATCACCCTCATTTCTGAATTTCACAAGGAGCCCAACCCTGGGCCCCCTCAACCTCTCCTCGTCCTGAGAAGACAGGCAACTGACCCGATGAGCTGCGAGCCAGCGTCCTCCTCCTCATGCACGCGCCGGGTGAGGCCACAGTTCTCCAGCGACAGTTTCTCCAGCAGTTTGAAGTCCACGTCGTTCCCTATGCCAATGGTGAAGATACAGATGTGACCTCGGGCAGCCTCCTTGGTGTTGTTGAGAATCTTGAGGGTATGGGTCTCCCCAACGGTGGGCTTCCCATCTGTCAAGAAGATGATGAGGGACACACTCCGGTCCTCGATGTCGTTATGGGTCACATAGTTGTTGAGCAGCCCAATGGCTGTCTGAAGGGCGCCGTTGATGTCTGTGCCTGTAGGGAGCAACACAGAACAGCTCACACCTCTGCACCCACCCGGACCCTGACACATGTGTAGAGCTGCAGAGAACTCAGCCACACAGGCATCAACCAGCAGGCCTGAGCTGCGGGGGGAAAAGAGGTCACCTGCATATGTGAGGTGGCTCAGCTTACAGATAAATCTAAATGGCATGGAGTTACCCCACTGTCAAACCTTTTCCCCAAGGTACCCGATGACGCTTGGGCTTAGAAGTCCTTATCTTAGCATTAATGGCCGCTACATTCCTAGAACAGCATTGAAAAGAAGCAGAACATGTTAGATGCAGAGATTCGAAGAAAGAAAGTCAGAGAGGGAAGAAAGGACCACAGAATGAAAAGGTGGGGGGGGGGGCGAGGCAGGCAACTGGAGACCATGTTAGATGGCTTCAAAGGCTGCCCAGGCTGGACGGTGCTGACTGAAGAGGTAATGAGTCACCTTCATTGTCTCTTTCCTTGCCTGCTACCTCTTCAGGATTACCTCTGCTTGTTAGAAGCCACAAAGGAAAGAAGCATGGATACATATATATACCTCCTGATTCTGTAAACTCTCCTTTAGAAAGGTGCTCATCAGCAGCAGTTCTGATTAAAGTCCTGGGGCAGGGTGTGTGGTAGGTACCAATATGTATTTGCTTGGTGGATAGAGAGAGACGGGCGATTTGGTTGTTTTAGGTTAAAACTATCAGCTAAAATGAGGTTTCTGGATTAGCCAGGAAGATCACTCAACTGAGCTACCACTGTTGAACCATCAAGGAAAATAGATTTCTTACTGTAGCATGAACATCTATTTCCTTTAGTTGTTGTTTTTTGAATGGTTTGAGCTAAAATTTCATACCAAAGAAATTTCCCATTCTAAGCACCCAATTCCTTATTTTTAGTCATAGATTTCTGTTCCAAACACCTTGCAAAATGTACCATGTTAAAGAAACAGATCACTTTCCCCACTGCTTTATACTCTCCAGAATTTCTGGCAAAAAGGAAAAATCTATGCCTGTGACAATTATGTTCATAATTCTTGCTAAGATGCACACCGACTCCAAACAGAAGGGAGAGTTACAGCTGAAACCATCTTCAACACTTCTTTGGGATCATTAATTTGCCTTTCATAACGCCCATCTAATTTCATGTGGCCTCTGGGTGTGTGGGCATGGGCTGACTGGCAGGTGTTTGTATGCACTTTAATCGGCACTTAGTAATGATGCCAAGTCTCCCTCTCCACTTCAAAGCCAAAGAGAGCCAGGGCCAAGCCATCAATTTAGCCTTCCTGATTGCACCTGGGTGCCAAAGGAACCACAGGGCTTGGAATCAGGCCTACGTTAAAATGGGGCATCTCTTGTCCACTCAACAACCAAGAACTCACGGGACCCAAGCGCACCAGCAAGGGAGCTACTCAAGTGGGTAAAAATCATGGCCACATCTGATGCTTGAAGAGGACTTCCTGCATGCTGGGCCTTTTCTATGCACTTTAAATATCTTAACTCATCTCACCCCAATAACAACCCCATTATTATCCCCGCTTTACAAAGAAACTGAGGCAGAGGGAAGTTCTTTGTCTAATAGAGAGTGGAGCTGAATTCAAGTCCAGGCAGTATGGCTTCAGAATGTACGCTCCTAGTTCTGAGGTTCCATTCTCAGAGAGAAGCAGATTCATCCACTGTTGACCTGCAGAGGCTGAGGCAATGCAGGGTCAAGAGTAAGTAGAGGAGCTGGGGCCGTAGCTCAGTGGCAGAGCACTTGCCTAGCATATGTGAGGCACTGGGTTCGATTCTCAGTACCACATAAAAATAAAAATAAAAAAAATAAAAAGGCATGTGGTACATCTACTACTACAAAAATATTT